TGTTGCTGTTCGCCTGTATTCGTCGCCCTGTCTAAAAACTTCCGACGCCCCCTCGCTGCTGCAGCCAGACGAGGCTCGGAAGACTGGGTGGGCTGCTGCCTGGCTTGCGTTCTGGGCGAACCTCCTGCGGGGGCTCCTCCACGCGGTTCAGCGGCAATGGGGGTCAGGCCTTTGTGGGCCCCGGAAGCGGCAGGGCCGTTTTTTTCACCGTTTCCAAAGAAATGTTCATTGAAAATGGAAACGGCAAAAAAAGGCGACCGGAAGCGGCAGAAAAACGGCTCCAGGATTGGAACCAGAGCCGGAACCGGTCAAAAAACGGCGACGGAAGCGGTAAACAATCACGGCGTCGGAACCAGCAAAAAAACGTCAAAACGGCAAAAAGGGATTGGCTGACCCTCAGCCAATCCCTTCCGATCCCCCCAGGCCGACCTGAGTCTACAGTGCCGTTTTTAATACATGCTCCGCGTGCGGATCATGTATTACAAATGCATGGATTTAGTATTAAAAACAACGATGAGTTCATGCATACGTTCATTACTACATTCATTATGTATTCAAATTCATAGTTTTCAAACTCCATGTATTTAAACAAAAAACTGCCCTGTACTGATACTGCTACCCGCCACTCGCCGCCACGGGAGGATTCGCATGGGCATTCCGGCTCTCCTTCCGATCCTTCCCGGTCACGGGCGCGTAGCGGCTTCGACCCATCCCCTGGGAACAGCCTCTCGTTTGGAGTCGATGTCTGAAGGTCCCGAGGCCCAGTGCAGGGCCCCCAGAGGCCGAACATGGCAACGCACCTTCCGTCGTGTTTATGCCTTGCTCGCCCCCTCCTCTTCTCCTTTTTCCTCCCCTCGCTCTGCCGCTTTCTCCCGCGTTTCCCTTGGGAGAGGGGGCCAAGCATCCGGCGCGCGGGCCGGCGCAGGCGGTCTTGTGCCGCTTTTCTTGCCTCGCTCGCGCCCCGAGGGCCCTGTTCAGAAGATGGCGGTCGATCGCTAGACCAGTGCCTCTTGAGTCCTCTCCTGCTCCCCGTCCACTCCTCTCCTGCTCCCCGTTCCAGCGATAATCAGAGCGTGAAATACCTCCCCCGCTTTCGCTTCCAGGCAAAACCCAGTCATACCACGCGCCCCCTCGTCAAGCGGCCTGACCAGTACAGGCCGTAGTTTGGCATCGTTTGGTATCTCTTGGAAGCGAGGGTGGTCAAAAGCGAGGCAGGTAGGTTTTCCCCCTAGCTAGCCCGGGTTATCGGGTCAGCCTGGCCCACCCGTTCCCCCCCGACTGACCCAACCTTGACGGCTGCGCAGGTCCGAAGGGGTACGCAGTGTTGAGTGCGCGTGGGCATACACCTTAGGCGATGCTTAAGAAAACTTACATTTTCGGCCAGAGTCTCGATTATTCTTAATGTTTCAATGTAAATCCTAAGATTTTGATAGAAATTGTGCGTTTTTATTCGAGTTCTGAGACCATGAATTTCTTAACCCATGATTTCTTAACCATTTCGCGTGGTGTACGTGGGGCTGCCCAGAGCGAAAGGTTGGACTATCGGCCGTCATTCCCCCCCCCGCTGGATAACCCGGGCCATCGCCGAACATTTTTGTTGCGTCGGCGGCTAGCCAGAGGGACAGGGCTGGCGAGTAAAGCGAAACGGGGCAACGTTAGGCGAAGTCATCCACTTTGCAGGAGGGGTGGGAGCAGGAGGCGAGGGGGCGACGGCCGAGGGAGGGGAGGGGAGGGAGCCGGGCCCGCTCAGAGCAGATCCGGGGGCGTGGCGGGGCGGGCACCAGGGGGGCCAGCAGCGGCGGCGGGGCGCCGGGGCATGCGGCAGCGGGGGGGAAGGCTGGCGAGCCCAGCCGGGGGCGAGAGGACGCCAGTGGGAAGTGCGGGAATCCGCCGGGAAGTCGGCCAGGAAGGTGTTTTTGCATCTGTGTGCGCATGCGTGCGCTGCCTCGCCCTCGAGGGTGGGGCCGCTCGGTGCGCGAGCTGCACCGCGACGGTGGCTGATTCCCACCCACTCTTGAGTCGGGCACGTCCCTCTACAGGAGGACTCCTCAAACATAGAAACAAACAAAGACACAACTGGGATTCAGTTTCTAGTGTTTTATACTACTATTTTCAATTTTTCGTCCAAGCTCCGCCTGTAGGAGGACATGCCCGACCTAACGGTGGCTGATTCTCACCGACTCTCTGTCTTGTGCCTCGTCGTTTTGGTTTCCGGGCCCGCTTCTCGGGATCCAGGCCGATCTTGGAGCGGGCTGGGGTCTGAGGTGGGCCAGCATTGGGTCGGCGTCACCCCAACATACTTACACTATATGTGCGTCGCCCCCTCCGGGGCGACGCGCGCACCGAGAACTCTCACAGTATATGCGTCGTGGCGGCTGCTTTCTGGCCACACCGCTCGGGAAACGATCTACTACAAGATCTTGGCATCGCTCGGACCTGTGCGTTTTTTCCTCGGAGAGGACCATCGAGGAGCATCTTTGATCATTTGGCGAAAAAAACACGCACGAAACCCAAACATACACAGGGAATGGACGTCCGAGCGATGGCAGGAGATGGGTATACTACATGTTCGGGTCGGACGTGCGCCTCCAAGGTGGACATATATAATATCAGTATGTCCCGGTGCGTCCTGTTGGGCTCCGGGCAGCAGGAGGGGGGGCAGAGTTGGAGGGCCTGGGCTCGGGAAGGTGTTCGTTGCCTTCTCTCTGCCTCCTTCGGGGCCTCCTCGTCGGGCCCCGGAGCCGTCAAAAAGCACGCCCGGGGTGAACAATTGCTCTTTGGGACCGGTCCGAAGACGGAGTTCGAGCGGGCATGGCTTTTATCCCCCCCTCCTGACTGATTTTCTCAGGTCCCGACCCGTGCAGACACCCGTGCCGCCCCCGAGGCCAATCCATGCTCCATGCTCCTCCTCATCAGTTTCCTGCTTGAACAAAGAGTCCGCTCGCTTCCAGCACCTCTCGCTCGTGTCACCACCAAGCCAGTCTCTGTTTTAATGGCCTTGGGGTGTTTAACTCGTCCCGCGCCTCCCTCAAGTGAAGGCCGCCGGGGGGCGAACGTTTTCGCCGTGCTGGGAGAGCCCGTCGAGGGCGGTCGTGACCGAACTGGTTCAGGAGGTTTACACCGTTCCGTTGGCCCCCTGAGGAACAGCAAGTCCAGGGATGCGGCCCTTTGGGGCCTCTCGGGGATATTTGTTTGTTTTGCCTCTGCGTCGTACTGTCGCGCAGTGGTTTCTCCACTCCTCGATTCCTCTGCCTCCCCATGCCTCGTGTCTTTCTATTCCACCGCCTGCTTGTGCTGCTTGGTGGGGTGGAAGCAACTGGTGCACCATGTCGTGCGCCGTGCGACCAGGAACGGATGCGGCACGGGAGATTCGGGGAACGAAGAATGACATAAACATACAAACTTGGAGGTCCGCGCGGACTTCTCGGATCCGCGCTGGACCCCCCTGGCGGTGCCTCCGGCGCCGCCCCTGGCGCGCCCTGTGCGCCAAGGATGGGGGTCCAACGCGCATCCGAGAAATCCACGCGGACCTCCGAGTCTTTGTGTATATGCCACTGTTTGTTTCCGTGATGGCGCGTGGTTGGAAGCAGCCGGCGTGATCTCGGTCACCGTGCACCATGCCCGTCGCAATTTCTCTCGAGGCCCTTCCAGCAGGCCCTCGACGGCCTTCCGTGCCACCTCGGCCTTCTGTCCGTGCGGTTATGAACAGGAGGTGGGGGCAGCGCGCCCGTGGCGCCGTGTCTGGGCGGGCTTCCCTCCTCGCCTGAGACGCGCCAATTTCGTCTATGAGGTCGGCCCTGGGGATCTCCAGCCCCTTCCCCGGGTCGGGGAGGCGGACTCCAGCTTCGACGGAAGCCGAACGCCATGATTCTTGTGGCGCAGCCCAGCTCTGAAGATCTTGGGGGCCTCTCGGGGATCCGGCTGGCTCCTCGGAGCCGTCTCGAGGAGTCTTCTGGTTGGCAGGGGGCCCCTGGGTCCTTGCTCGGTGCTGTCCCGGGCCGTCGCGAAGTGGGGGAAGGAGATGTCGACGAGTTGGAGGGTGCGACTGTTTCAAGGGGAAGCCCCACTGAGGCCGCTCCTCTAGCAGTACTTGCTCTTCGCGGCGCGCGAGTCGGCCGATCGTCCGATTTCTCAACGATGCTCCGCTATCCGCTTCCGGGCAAACAGAGGAGGTAAAGTGGGAGGAGAAGGGGGGCGTGGTTCAAGCAGTGGCGAGGCGTCCTGGTGGGCCTATAGGCCCACCATCAAATATTATAAGAACATTTCGTGGTCTGCACGACATGTTCTTAGAACGTTTCTGGCTGAGACCCTCTTGTCTTAACACTCCAGTCTCATGTTCTATCGGCAGTGCTTTTATCATCAGAACATGCTTGGGCTCCAAGAACATCCTGTGGCAGGCCCATGGGCATGCCGGGACGGTCGGCCCCGGCTCGAGTGGGAGGATTGGGAGTTGGGCGTTGCGTAATGGGGGGGTCATGAATGGGGTGGTGGCGAGGGTGGTCCGAAAAGGTACCCCAACGGTACCCGAACGAGCCCCCTGGGGCTCCGGAGGGGCCCGTGGGGGGCACGGAAAGGGGACCGTTCCTGACCCCCCCATTTAATGATCCCCCCAGGAAGCCACGCCCAGTCCCGGAGCGAGGGAGCGAGGAGGGAGGAAGGAGGAGGAGGAGGGAGGAGGAGGAGGCGGAGCGAGGCAGCGAGGAGGAGGAGGCGGACGAGGAGACAGTCTCGAAGGAGGAGGTAGAGGAAGATAGGAAAGGGAAGGAGGCTAGGAGGAGGAGGAGGAGGAGGAGGAGAGGAGGAGGAGGGAGGAGGAGGAGGAGGAGGAGGAGGAGGCGGGAAGGAGGAGGGAGGAGGAGGAGCGAGGAGCGAGGAGCGAGGAGCGAGGAGCGAGGAGCGAGGAGCGAGGAGCGAGGCGCAGGAGGAGGAGAGGCGAGGAGGAGCGAGGAGGAAGCTTCTCTGGCCACCCGGCGCCTGGCGGGGCAAGGGGGCCCAGGGAGGGGAGGGGAAGACGGAGGACGGTATGTGGCACGGCCCAGGGCGGTCCGACGGAGCCGCTTCCGTGCCGACCTCGGCCGTCGGGTGCCCCGCCGGGTGCCCCGAGTGCTCCGTCGCCGCGGGGCTGCTCGGTGCCTGCACGTCCGGGGAACATCTGGGGAGGACAGCGCTCCCCTCCCCCTGCCCGCTGCGTCCCTCGGGTGGACCCAAGAGGGGGTCCAGCGGCCACGGGGGTGGTGCAAGAGATTTGGTGCAGTAGATCTGAGGGGTCGTATGATACACTTGGGGCGTACGATACACTCCGGCGCGCAAATCTATTGCTGGATTTGCGCGCGCAGTGCATTGCTTGCAATAGAGTGCAATACACTTCTCCGGCGCAGTACACTTGCAACACAGTTGCCCCAACTCTATTGCACCACCCCCTTTGAGCTGGACCCCCTTTGGGGTCACCCAAAGTCCCGCTCGGGGAAGCGTGGTGCTCGAGTGCGCCGGAGCTCGGGCTTGCCGAGGCGGTTCGACGAGCGCGACCTCGATCTTGGCGAGCCGGTGTTCGTGGGGCGTCCACGGCGAGAGCCCGCGGGTTTTCAGAGCGGGCCTCGTCGTTTTCACGATGGCCCCAGTCAGGCCAGCCCGAGTCTTGTGGAGGACGATCAATGGAGAGGGAGCATGCTGCCAGATAAGTTCCAGATGTCTAAACAATGTTCCAGATATGTTTTAAATTCTAGACGCTTCGCGTATCCCCACCAGCCCGTCCAGAAATGAGTCCCAGGGGAGTGGAGGTTATGAGGGAAGCGGGGGAGCATGCAGAAGAACAAAGGGCGGGGTGAGCCGCCATATACCCCAAGAGGGGGAGGATGTAGGAGGAGCCGTCGTCGTCGGAGTAGGAGGAGGAAGAGGAGGAGCAGGAGGAGGAGCAGGAGGAGGAGCAGGAGGAGGAGGAGGAGGAGGAAGATAAGGAGGAGGAGAGGGAGGACTGCGAGGACGAGGAGGACGAGAAGGAGGAAAAGGAAAAGGAGGAGGAGGAGGAGGAGGAGGAGGAGGAGGGGGAGGGGGAGGAGGGAGGAGGAAGAAAAAGAGGAGGAGGGGGAGGACAATGGCGAGCTTGGGGGCCTCTTGGGCCGTCTTTGGGGCCTCTTGGCGGTCCCGGGGGCCTCTTGCGTATCTCGGGGAGCCTCTTGTGGCCTCTTGGGGGTCTCTTGGGGGCCTCTTGGAGGCCTCTTGGGGGCCTCTTGGGGCCTCTTGGGGCCCTCTTGGGGCGCTGTTGGGGCGCTCTTGGGAGCCTTCGAGGCGCTCTTGGGGCCTTCTTGGAGGAGATCTATCAAAGAAGGGGGGTCCCCAATTAGCGCTGCCCCTCTAGAGTGCCTCGAGTCGCCTCTTGGGCCCCCCCAAGAAGCCAAAATCCTTCCAAAACCTAGGTAAAATCAATGTTGTTTGTTTTCTCGCCTTTTCGCTCTTGGACCCGTCTTGGGAGCCTCTTGGGCCTTTTGGGGGTCTCTTGGGAGCCTTTTGGAGGCCTCTTGGGCGCCTCTTGGGGCCTCTTGGGGCGCTCTCGGGGCGCTCTTGGGGCGCTCTTGGGAGCCTTCGGGGCGCTCTTGGGGCCATCTTGCAGGAGATCGATCAGAGAAGAGGGGGTCCCCAATTAGCGTTGCCCCTCTAGAGTGCCTCGAGTCGCCTCTTGGGCCCCCCAAGAGGCCAAAATCCTTCCAAAACCTAGATAAAATCAATGTGTTCTGTTTTCTCGCCTTTTCGCTCTTGGAGCCGTCTTGGGCCATCTTGGACTCTCTTGGGGCCTCTTGGGGGTCTCTTGGCAACGTCTTGGAGGCTTCTTGGGGGCCTCTTGGGGTCTCTTGGGGCCCTCTTGGGGCGCTCTTGGGGCGCTCTTGGGAGCCTTCGGGGCGCTCTTTGGACCATCTTGGAGGAAATCTATCAAAGAAGGGGGGGTTGCTTATTAGCCCCGCCCCTCCAGAGTGCCTCGAGTCGCCTCTTGGGCCCCCCCAAGATGCCAAAATCCTTCCCAAACCTAGGTAAAATCAATGTTTTGTGTTTTCTCGCCTGTTCGCTCTTGGAGCTGTCTTGGGCCATCTTGGACGCTCTGACACCTCGCGACCAGCCCCGTCCAGGTCAGTGGGGAGGGGTAAGGGGAGGGGTAAACCCCTCCCCGAAGGGGAAGAAGGGGGTTGGCAGAGGAAACTCCCTAGACCACCTACGCCCTAAAGGGCTGGTGGGATATCTAAAGACATGCTTGAAGCGTTTTTAGGCCATGCTTTACACATCTCAAACGCATATCTTCAGTTCAATGATGGGACTGTTAGGGTGTCCATTGCCGTGGCATCCACAACCCGAGTCCCCCGCGCCCGAGTCTTGCGCCTCCCCGACCCGTGCGTGGCCGTGCCCCCCCCTCTTCTGGGCGGCGCGGCGCCGGCGCCATCAATCCGTCTGCCTCTCGGAGGCCAGCCCGTTCCGTGCGCCGCCCAGTGCGCGCACGCCAGCCTCCTGCTTCAGCGGCGAGCGAGGGGGGGAAGTGAGAAGGAAGAAGGAGACGGCCTTCGCAGAAGGCGGCAGGGCTTCTCAGAAGCCCTCGCGCCTTCCGAGAGAAGTTGTTTCTCTCTTCGGGGAAGGCTTCACTTCCCAGAAGGCTGGGGGACGTCCGAGGCTTCTGAGAAGGCCCGCCCCTTCTCACTTCCCCCCCTCGCTGACTGTTGCTTCGGGTGCAACCCTTTGGAGGTAGAGTCCTGATTTTGCCCTGGTCCGGAGTCCGGCTTCATCCCGCTGAATCCGGCCCAATCCTGCTCAGCCCCGCTCAGTCCGGCTTAGTCCTGCTTGACCCGAGGCTGACTCCAGCGTAACAGCCCCCCAATCAGGTTCGCTTTTCCTTGTTCCTTCCGGCAAACACCTCCCAGTAGTTGCCTCCTGGTGTTGCAACCGCGCCGAGCAGCAGCACCAGCAGCGGCAGCAGCAGCAGCAGCAGGAGCGCCCTGCAGCGAGCAAACAGGCTCGCGCCGTGCGCAAGCCGCACGGCCGAGCAGCACAAGACTGTCGTCCGCAGCGCCCATCTCCATTTCCGTGAGTAGGACAGGCGTGCCAATCGAGAGCAGTCTTGACGGGATTCTCACGACGAGCCTTGGAAGCAGGTCACCCGCACGGCATGCCCAATCCCCTGAGCCAGGCTTGCGGCTTGGCCGACACCAGCCGCCGGCGTTCCAGGGCCACATGCCAGGGCTACCTGGATCCTGGGAGAGGGAGAAGGAGGAGGAGGAGGAGGAGGAGGAGGAGGAGGAGGAGGAGGATAATCGAGGAGGAGGAGGAGGAGGAGGAGGAGGAGGAGGATAAGGATAAGGATACGGAGGAGGAGGAGGAGGAGGAGGAGGAGGAGGAGGAGGAGGAGGAGGATGTTCGGCAGGCCTGCAGAGAGGGTCCGGGGAGCGAGGAATGACGTAAACGGAAGAACTCGGAGGTCCGCGCGGATTTCTCGGATCCGCGCTGGACCTCCCCTCTCCTTGTCGGGGGAGCGTAAGACCCGGGTTTGCCAGGACTCGGGTTCGCCATCGGTTTTTGACGACCGCGCCTCGGATTTTGACGAGGAGGAGTTTCGTGGGATGTCTGCAGCGGGAGGCCTCGTCAAAATGCAGGCTCGGCCTCGTCATTTTTTTGACGACCTCGTCGGGGATTTCCGAGTCCCCTGTGCCCACCCAGGTCGTACGTCCCCCTGATCCTTGGTGCGCGGAGCGCGCCAGGGGTGGCGCCAGAGGCGCCGCCAGGGGGGTCCAGCGCGGGTGCGGCAAATCCGCGCGGACCTCCGAGTTTTTATGTTCGTGTCATTGCCCGTGCCCCTAGAGAAGGAGAAGGAAGGATGTTCGGCACGCCTGCACAGAGGATGCAGCCAACACGCTGAAAGAAGGCAGGCCCTAGTGGGCTCGCACTCTGGGGCTGAGGTCGTTCCTTAGCTATGGTTTTCAGTCGGACATGTTCCTTTACAAGAGAAGCATTCACAAATATTACAACAAGAGTTAGGGGTACAATTCTTGAACTAGATTCGAACATGTTCGAACAGTTCTTGACTGTTTTTAGTTTTTCTTCAAAAATCCGCCTGTAGGAGGACATGCCCGACCTAACTCTAGTTCGGAGAAACTGTTCGTGGCCAAGGCTAGCCGTGGCCAGAACAGCCAATCCGCTCCCTGCTCGTCGGAGAACCTGTTCGTGGCCAAGGCTATCCGTGGCCAGAAGAGCCAATTCGTTTGTGATCCTGTTCGTGCTCCTTGTTTTGCCGACGGGCGCGGGCCCTCGCATCCCGCCACTCCCTCTGCCCCCGTTGAGAAGATCTTGGCTGTTCTTGGCGCCTGCTTTCAAGCAGGAGGGGCCCCCCCCCCCCCCAGGACGCACTGCCACAGTCGGTCCCGTGCCGCAGAGGTCCGGAGCAGGACCCCTCCCCTTCTCCTCGGCCCAGTGCCGAGATCGGCAACACCCCAACATACTTATACTATATGTGCGTCGCCCCCCCAGGGGCGACGCGCGCACCGAGAAATCTTATAGTATATGCGTCGTGGCGGGCGCTTTCTGGCCACACCGCTCGGGAAACGATATACTACAAGATGGGTATACGATATGTTCGGACGCGCGCTCCAAGGAGGGACATATAGTACTAGTATGTCCATGTGCGTCCCACGAGACGCCGACTACGAAAAGAAAGCACCCCCCCACCCCCCGCTCCCTCACTCGGAGCGCTGCCCGTGTGGTGGCACGATGGCGGGGCACGCCGCCCCGGGAGCGCTGCGGCGGCGCTCCCAGGGCGTCGTGGGCCGCCGGGTCGCCCGGCACCTGCGCCGGGCCCGCCGGCTCGCAGAGAGACAGAGAGAGAGAGAGAGAGAGAGAGAGACAGAGAGAGAGAGGGAGAGAAAGAGAGAGAGAGAGAGAGAGAGAGCCCGGAGCTCGTCTCGTCGGCGGGGTCTCGGGGCGCCGCCCCTCGGCAGCCTGGGGGCCGGCGCGGCGCAGGAGAGGCCACCCTCTTGGGGGCAGGAGAGGGAGGGCGCGGGAGGGGGACTGGAGGGGGGGCGGCAGGGCCTCAGGGTGGGGGTGGAGGTGGGTGGGGGGGAGAGGAGGTTGGAGGGAGACATTGAGAGAGGAGGAGGGGGGGAGGGGGGTCCTGGGAGGAGTCGGGGGAGGGAGGAGGCCAAGGGGTGGGCTCTCCTCCGCCTCCTCCCTCTCATCCACGTCATCTCCGCCTCCTCCCTCTCGTCCACGTCCTCCGCTTCCTTGTCTTCCTCCTCTTTCCTCCTCCCTTTCCACCCCACCCTGACACTCTCTGGGAAGTCCTGGGGGCCATCCGGAACGTCCGAAGATCTGTGAGGGCGCTTGAGAGCAGCACAGAGCCGCCGAAGACCGCACCCCTATTTCATCGGGGAGGGGGAAGCAGCAGGGGAGGGGGACGGAGGGAGAGGGAGGAGAGAGGAGAGAGAGAGGAGGGAGAGAGGGAGGGGAGAGGAGGGAGAGGGAGAGGGGAGAGGGAGAAGGGAGACGGATGGAGGGAGAGGGATAAGGGATGGAGGAGAGGGGCGAGGGATGGAGGGAGAGGGAGAGCAGGGAGAGTGGATTCGGATGTAGGGGGAGGGAGGAGAGAGGATGGAGAGGAGGGAGGGCAGGATGCAGGACGGAAGACGGGGACAAGTCGGAGGAGGGCCCAGACATCCGATGCCCTGGCTTCCTGACAGTCCGGCCCCTTCTCCTGGGCGGGTTCCGCGTGCTAAGTCGGGCATGGCCCTCTGCAGGAGGAAAATTCAAAGATAGCCAAAAAGTAGTCAGGGGACGATTTTTCGTGCTCTTCTGACTATGTCTTGACATGTTTTGACTATTTGTTGAGTTTTTCTTCCAAAATGCGCCTGTAGGAGGACATGCCCGACCCACTCGTATCCCTGAGTGGACTGGGAGGGCCCCCGGGCCCGCAGAGGGGCCCTTCGAGAGGAGGCCGAGCACGGCGAATGACTTCCGCTCTGGTTCTTCAAAAGTCGCCGGCTGCCTGGGGGCCCAGACTCCCGAGGGAGAGGACGACGATGGGGGGGACGAAGACGAAGCGGGGAAGTGGATAAGGGGGAGAGGGAGGAGCAGGAGGAGGAGGAGGAGGAGGAGGAGGAGGAGGAGGAGGAGGAGGAGAAGGAGGA